TCAGGTGTTTGTAGATTTGTTAGTGATTTATTAATAGTTACTGCGCCTTTGGTTTTAAGGGTATGTTTTACGTACGTATGTACACTGTATTTTCCTGTGATTATTATAACGCATCCTAAAAAAATTAATCCCTTAATATTTTTGATATTGTAGTTAATGTTAGACTTTGTTTCTGAAGCATACTTCGCTAACTTATCTAACGGTGTGCAACCACCTGCACACGTTGGCTACATATTAATTGTTGTCTTGTTCTTAATGAAAATGGGTGATAGCATTTTGTACGCATTTAGCCTTTATTGTGGATTGGAAACTGGTTTCCGCTCTCGCACTATTCTCATAACTGCTATCTATAGGAAAGCCTTAGTCTTGAGTGGAAAAGCTAGAATTTTATTTACTAATGGAAAGATCACTAATTTAATGTTCACTGATACTACGCGTATAGATTATGTATGCGGTTACTTCCACGTGATTTGGTGTTCTCCTGTTCAAATTTGTATAGCATTGGGTTTGTTAATATTTAATATTGGTCTATCTGCATTAGTTGGTTTTGCTTTACTAGTGTTTGTGGGTCCTATGCAAGGAATGGTTATGTCACTATTGGCACGTATCAGGGCTAAAGCTGCTAGTGTCACTGATGAACGGGTAAAGTTAACTCAAGAGATTTTATTGGGGATTAAATTAATTAAATGTTATGCTTGGGAAGATAGTTTTGCAGATGCTCTTAATAAATTAAGAAATAAAGAGATTGGTTTGGATAGGCTTTTGTTAGTTATAAGATCTGGTATTACTGGTGTTTCAATGGTAATATTCTTATATTTGCAGTAGCTAAAGTTGATTATATCTTTACTTCTTATTTTACCTCATTTATCTTTTTTACTTCTTAATTGTGCTCGATTCTTTTATAGGTCATTCCAATATTTGCTTGCATTTTATCATTTGTAACATTTTCATTGACAGGAGGCAGCCTCAACGCCGGAATCGTATTCTCTTCTTTGGCATTATTCGGCACTCTCCGAGTACCTTTATTGCGCTTGCCAATTGTTATAGGTTCTATTACTGATGCATATGTAGCAATTAATCGGATAAATGAATTTTTGCAGGCTGATGAATTATCTGTTTTACCGGCAATCAATTCAGACGAACAATATGCTATTAAAGTTACAGATGGTGAATTTATTTGGGAAAGTGCTTCACCAGAGGAAATTATCGATAACCCAAAAAAAAAGAAAAAAGAAAAAAAGTCAAAAAATTGTAACAAAATTAATGAGAATAAAAATCCTCTTTCAACTATTGTTATTAATGAAAAGTCTACAGCTTTTTCTTCTGCTGATTTGACCGAAAACCTAGAAAATTCTCATCTACTTTCTCCAAGATCACAACTTCGTAACATTAATGTTTCAATACCTCGTGGAAAGTTAATTGGCATTGTTGGTTCTGTAGGATCTGGTGAATCGTCATTATTGTCAGCTCTGGTTGGTGAAATGAAAAGAATTAAAGGAGAGGTCATATTTGGCGGAAATGTTGGGTATTGTCCTCAAACTGCATGGATTCAAAATGCTACACTTAGAGATAACATTATTTTTGGATTACCTTTTAATGAGGAAAAGTATCGACAAGTGATTAAAGATTGTTGTCTAGAACCAGATTTAGAAGTGTTGCCCGCCGCTGACTTGACCGAAATAGGAGAGAGGGGGATTAATTTATCCGGAGGGTACGTTATTATGGTTTAGGTCAAAATCCTGACAGGTCATAATCCCGACAAAAAATCCCGACAACAAAAATCCCGACGGCTAAAAAATCCGACAATTAAAAAATAAAGTAAATCATAGCTTAACCCTTATCTAAGGTGACCTAACCTTAAAATTATTTAAATTATGAGTCTACTTCGTTTTAAACATACCTCATATTTGGGATTTTCTACTTGAAAATTGTGACTGCGGGATTCTGGATTTTTGATTGTCGGGATTATGACCTGTCGGGATATTAGTTATAAATATTTATAGAATATAAATTTTTTTAAGGAAAGCTTCGATTTTGATTCTTCAGACAAAAACAGCGTATCAACATTGCAAGAGCTGTGTACTATAATGCTGATATTGTGTTACTAGATGATCCATTATCGGCAGTTGACGCACACGTTGGAAGGCACTTATTCACAAATTGTATTCAAGGCTCACTTTCTAAAAAAACTCGTTTACTTGTTACACATCATTTACATTATCTACCACAAGTCGATTACATAATATATATGGAAGAAGGTGAAATCGCTGAACAAGGAACTTATGAGGAATTAAAGAAATACGGGAACGCCTTTTCGAAATTGATTGCTGAATATGGTGAAACCAAAAACAGTTATGAAGTAAATAAGGACCAAGAATCAACATTGGAAGAAAAAGAAAATAAAGGTCATACAATTACTTCGTCTAAAGGATTAATGTCAGAAGAAGAACAGTACAGAGGGGCAGTGAATAATGAAATATATTTGGCATATTTTTGGAATTCGGGTGGAATTTTATTGATATTCACTATTATTTTATTGCTTATTATGACACAAGGAGCAAATATTGGGTGTGTTTTTACTATATTAATACTTTAATACTATTTTACATGTCTCAATCTTATCTGCTACAATAATCAAGGAAATTGCTAAACTCACTACTGTCTTTTTTTATTTTTAGAAATAACTTGTGGCTTTCGTTCTGGTCCAGCAACACGTTTGACCTTCCACAAGAAGTTTATGTAGATATATTTGAAATTTATAAAATCACAAATTACGATATATCATGCATAGATAATTTATTTATATTATTTAAATGCTAATTTGCTTTAATAGATAGGTGTTTATTGCGCATGGGGAGCCGCTGAAGGTTTTGTTGGTATTTTGTGTGGTATCGTACTTTCCTACGGTGGTATTAAAGCAGCCAAAAGATTTCATGATAAAGCAATTAAACGTGTATTAAGATCACCAGCAAATTTTTTTGATACTACTCCTCTAGGAAGAATTATTAATCGGTTATTGTCATGTCTAACTTAACATTGAACATATTATTTTTAATATTTTCTAATCCAAATTTATTTAATAACAGATTCAGTAAAGATGTCGACACATGCGATAATTTACTTTCTGAATCATATCGAATGTTTTTTATGAGCATTTCAAACATTATTGGAACTTTTATTCTAATTGTAGTAGTTTTTGTGTGGTTCATTATCCCGTTAGTTCCTTTGATCATACTTTTTTATTTTATTATCGGTCATCTAATCGTGAATTAAAGCGTAATTAATTGTTATTATCATTGCCTAATAAAATTATATACATAAACATATGCATATTAAAAAAATTTTTTACTTCAATATTTTCTTTATTTCAGGTCTTGATTCAGTATTAAGATCTTCACTATACGCCCATTTTTCCGAGACACTTTTGGGGCTGCCAATTATTCGTGCTTATCGTGAGCAAGAAAGATTTTTGAGGTTTATAAATTTGATAATTTATTAGATTTGATGTAATTTTCTTAATAATTTTTTCTTTCACTTTAACATAAAATAAAATAGAAATAACGAAGCATTCTTAGATGTTGAAAATAGAGCATACTTTCTCCTCATATGCACTCAACAATGACTTTTAGTGCGTCTTGAAACTATCACAAGTATTTTAGTATTTTTTGCAAGTTTGTTTGCAATTATTTTTAGACATAGTGTTATGCCTTCAATTACTGGATTAGTAATGGCTTATGCATTTCAAATTATTGTAGTTTTTAGTTGGTGTATCAAAGAATTTGCTGAAGTAGTGAGTAAATAGTAATGGTTTAATAATATATTTTAAATTATTAATTTTCAATGTCGAATAATAGGAAGCAAATATGAACTCAGTGGAACGCTTAATTTACTATAGTGAAAAATTGGAAGTAGAAGCCAAGAATATAATACCGGACAATAGACCACCACCTGGGTGGCCGTCCCGTGGAGAAATTCATATTAAAAATTTGAAAATTAAATATGGATCTGATAGTCCTCTAGTTTTGAAAGGCATTTCAATAGATATCATGGCTGCTGAAAAGATTGGAATTGTTGGTCGAACTGGTAAATTTAGGTCTCAGTTTGAGAATTATTGAGGTACAATATTGATTTCTTTTTAAATAATAGGATGTGGAAAATCAACGTTAGCGAAGTCGTTCTTTAGACTCATTGAAGCAACTTCTGGGAGTATTGTAATTGACGATATTGATATTAGCACTATTGGATTAAGAGACCTTAGAAGTAATATTACTATCATACCTCAAGACCCTGTACTATTTAATGGTACTATAAGGTAAACAAAAATCTTGATTCTATATATCTATTATTAAAACCTTTCTGTAAATTAATTATTAGAATCTCTTTTTTTAAAAAAAATAGAAGCAACTTGGACCCATTTAACAAACATAGCGATTTCGATTTATGGAACGCGCTTCGTCATGTACACTTAATTGACAATTCCAACCATACTTTTGAAAATAAAAAATCAGAAGCCAACCTTTCTATTTCAGACCAGAATAATGACAATCAAGAACCATTAATGCTTGACACACCTGTCAAAGAACATGGATCAAATTTTTCCCAAGGTCAGCAACAACTGATTGCAATAGCCAGAGCACTAGTTCGTCATTCCAAATTGATAATAATGGATGAAGCTACTGCCAGTGTAGATTTTAAAACTGATCATCTAATACAAGCTACAATTAGGGAGGAATTTGAGGATCGTACTGTTATCACTATTGCGCATAGGTTGCGAACTGTTGCAGACTACGATAGAATTCTGGTTATGGGTATGTATTTTTTTTAAAAAATTTTAATGAACTTGAAATATTAATTTATTCTTTCCATAATTAGATGCTGGAAATATAATTGAATTCGATATTCCATATCTACTGATGCAAAAGTCTGACGGGTTGTTTAAAAAAATGTGCGAAAAAAGTGGGGAATTTGTAGAATTAATGGAAATTGCTAAGCAGAAATATGAGAAAATGTCGGCGATACGGAGTTACATAGCTTTGCCGCGAAAGAATTTGTAATCCTAGCTAATCGGCCTAAAAAACATGCCGTGCTATGTTGAAATAAACCGATTCTTGCATCATAGCAATAATTTATATCTTCAAAATTATGTCTTTTTAATTTAGTGATTTGACCCGTCAAAAAAATCACTGTCGGGTGGTGTTACGCAAAAAGACGTAACAAAAAGACGTAACAAAGTAACAATTAAACTTTTTATGCGTGTAACCTTATAACGTCTATGCGAAGTTTGCATACTTTAATTAGACTTTATATCGTTATACTGCATATCTGTAAATAGTCTATAGCTTATTTGTAGTCTAATAGTCTATATAAATAGAAACTTATAGAACTTTAGATAGATATAGAGTTTGGTAGATTCGTAAGTTGGATAATAAGGATTTGAGAAGGTCTCTTTTGGAAGGTTGTTAGTTTTTAGTGAGTTGGTAACTTACTAGTCGATTAGTGAAATAGAGATATTTGTTACTGTTAGTGTCTGGGACACAATAAAGAGTTTTTTGTTTAGTGCCTTGTGTGTATAAATAAATATTCGGTTTCTCATTTTAATGCTTACGACCCTAAGCTAAATTGGCTCAGCCGATACAAAGTCTCTCCCCTGGTTGTAACAGTGGACAGTAAGTCACCCGGAATGAAATCGGGTCAACTTAAAAATGTCACCAACCCAGGTGGTAATATGACAAAGAATTACAGCTCTTTTCAAATTCTGGACATCTAATAAAAATGATTTTTGACTGATTCGATTAAGTTATTGATTTCGGTATTATAGGTGTATATTTTTAGACGTAATACTTCAGAATTAGAACCATATAGCTAAAATCGGGATATTTTCATGGAAACGCTTAGTTGATCAATTTATAGAGCCAGGATAATATCGGACAATATGAATCACGACAAATCGGTATGTAGATTATAGATACATAAATGTAATCTTTTTTGCGTCTCAAATAGGAATATATAGATCACATGACTTTGAGACATTGTCTTGGTCTGGTAAAGAAGAGTTTGGATGCGAATAGTGTCCAGACCTGTGCAATTACTTTTTGACACATAAAATGCGTAATAAATTAATCTATTTTAATGTAACTAGCGCAAATAACAATATTGATTAATATCAATATATACTACTATATTAAATCACTCTTAGTATGTCTATCCTTCCCAATTTTTTATTTGCATTGATATTGCATAGTCATAATTTCTTATATCGTATAAAAATGCATTTTAAATTGCACGAATCTGGATACTCTAGATGTGGTATATAAAAAATTTACTATTTAATTTTTGTATAGCCAGCTTACAAACTAATAAATACACGCAAAAAAGAATTTGTCACATTTAAAAACATACAGCAGATAGATATATATGCAATATACGTACGTAATAAATTGATATTTATTACTCTCAAATTGATAAAAAAATCCAATATGCGAATAAATTATTAGCGAAACTATATTTATTATCGTTATATTTTGAAAAAAAATTAGAGTGATCCAATCTTTAATTATCATGACCTTTATTAGAGATATAACACGACCTTTAGTCATATAACTAATGAAACGATAATACTAATACATTCATACATATTATCGACCTACTACTTAACCCAAAGTTACTAATGTTTTAACACTATAATGTTCAGATTACATAAAATATGAACATTAGTACAATCTTATTGTTATTATAATGGCATGTCAAATGGTATGCATAAAATTCTTCAAGTCAAATCTTACATGTAACATCGCAATCCAGCATTTAGGACTTATTATCAATAAATCGCTTTGAAATGACGTTCTTGGGGTTAATGATTTTTTTGATATTTTTGCACAGTGAATATAGAAGCTATTTAGAAATGGATTTTTTTGTTAGTGAAACGTTACATTTCCCAAAAAGTACTTTTAAACTATATAAATAAGTTATCCGGGCTATTGACAATTAATCATACGAATGTCTTCCTATGTACCAGAGGGATAACCCACTAGATACTGCGCAACGTCGTCATGCAAAACCAGGAGCGGGGAAATTTATAAAAACTAAGCTGAAGTTAATAAATAATAAATGATTTATTTTTATACAGAAATTAAAAAAAAATATAGAATAAATAAATTAGCATGTTAAGAATTAATGATTATGAAGATCAAATTGTTCTTAGCAGTTTTTCAGGTGTTGGGTCGAATGATAGAAAATTCAGAGTGTTACCTTTGTTAGTCTGATCCTTGCTAAATGTTTTATTACAGGGTATAGATAATGGGTGTTGTATCGTTTACGCCAAAGTGTTTAAGGATGTTACAAGTGCTAAATGTAATATTAAAATGTATAGGATATAGAGAAATTTTTCTGCATATGTGATTGCGTGATTATCATTCATAGTCTAGTTTTAATGATGCGAACCTAGAACGCTAAATGATTTGTTAATGTATGTAAAGCTTATCGCGATATGAAGTTGGTAGAAGTGCAGAAATCGCAAGATTGGGCAATTTTCTCTACGAAATATGGCTTTAATATCAAATTATCAGGGAGAAGGGGTATCAGCAAGTTACATCAGATTAATGGAGTTACAGGATTAGAGTATTAAGGGGATATAGGATATTAGTGGCATCAATTTTATATGTTTTTATTAGTGAGCATTTTATTATATAAATAGGTGATGCTTGCACTACTTTGTTAATATATACTAACAATTATAGTTAAATATCTGAAGTGCCAGCACACGCATGATTAAAATAATTTTAATAGTGTGTTCATATCTGCAATGCTTTGAAATAGTCAAGTTTTTACGTGTACATGTGACTAGATGATAGCAGATGTGTAGGCTGTTCACCATCGAACATTAATATAGCAATAAAAACTGTATTTTGATATTATTTGTCGAACCGAATAACCAAATACCAGTTTTAATGAAGTTAATGATGCCTGACGAATGACGAAACTTACGTCATTGACGAATGACAAAACCTTTCGTCAAGCTGATTTCTAAATGACGAATTGACGATTGACGAAACCTATGACGATTGACGAAACCTATGACGATTGACGAAACC